GCTGGTTTTTGGCTTCAGGGGTGTACAGTGCGTTAGCATAGATCTGACCGCGTTAGCATAGAGAAAATTTGGAAAAATGGAGTTGTGCTATGCGATTGCGTAAGTCTTAGCGCGATCACATAGAGTAAAATCTCTGCTGCACTGACCCGACTTTAGAAGCTTATATCTCACAATCTATAAGGAATTTGAAGATGGCCCAAAAACCGTAGTTGTAGCCCTTGATGTCTAGTTTTCAGAAAATTAAACCAATTGTAATTTGAAGTTTTATACAAAAAGCTATGACCATTATACTAGAGGCTGTCCGGAAGAGTTTGAGAAGGCTGTTGGAAAAATTTGTTCTACGCGATCGCGGGGTTGTGGACGCGATCGCATAGGGTAAAAGAAGGGCTGGAAAATTTTGTGCTTCGCTATTGCATTAGTTTGTCCGCGATAGCATAGGGTAAATGCCTGGGCAGATTATAAAGTACTCTATTTCGAGGATTTCGGCCATTTTTTGCATTTTTAGAGCTATGAAGCTCGGATTGAGGCGATTTTTGAAGGGATTTTCAAAGGATTGATTAGGGTAAGTGTTCTTCAGTCAAATTTTATTAAATCCCATGATTATGTCTTGATTCGTATCATTTAATTTGAGAATTTGCGGTGAAAATTGGGAAAATGGAAGAAGGTTTGGATAGTTGATTTTGGGGATTTGGATGGCCATTTGATGTCGGATTTTGGTGAATTTGATATGGGTAGACTCGTGAGCGAATTTTCCAGTTTTGTAATTTTTATCGGATTCCGAGACGTGGGCCCGGTGGTCAGGTTTGGCCAATTTCGGGATTTTTTATGTAAATTGGTTATTTTCGAGTGGGCTTTGTTCCCTTAGCATATTTTGATGGTATGGTGCTGTTTTTGGTTAGATTTGGAGCATCCGGAGGCCGAGTTGAGAGGCAAAGGCATCGCGGGCTAGAGTTTGGACCGAATTGAGATAAGTAATGATTGTAAATGTTGTCCTGAGGGTATGAAACCCCGGATTTCACATCGTTGTGCTACTTTGAGGTGACACACATGCTAGATGACGAGCATGGGGTCGTGCGATGACTTAGTCCGTCCCGTATGACTGTTAAATCGTGTATTTGATTGAAAACTGTTGGATATCATTGTGTTTTGGAAAGTATTATCATATTTTGGGCTGAATGCCATATTTGGGCCTCGTGCTAACTGTTTTAAACCCTTAGGGGATTTTTACTACTATTCCTTACTGTTTTGGCTTCATATTTGTACTCAGTCATGCTGTATTCTACTATTTTCATAACTTAGCCATATTTACTCCGTTTTGATATTTTAAATGATATTTTGGGCTGAGCATCATGTTTTACTGTTGCCCGAGTGGCTTGAGAGATTTCTGACTGAGTGAGGCTGAGGGCCTGCGTTGTGAGGATATTATGGGAACGGGCTGCGCGCTGCAACAAATCATACTGATTCATGATTTTTTAGGCTGAGGGCCTGATTTGTTACGCCACGGGGTGGCTTGTTATGAGGCCGATGGCCAGTTTGATTATGCTATGAGATGGATTGTTATAGCGCTTGGGCTGTAGGAGCCCCTCCGGAGTCTGCACACCCCTAGTGAGCGCGGGTACCCACTATGAGTGATGTGATGTAGCCCGAGGGGCTGTTCTTGATCCATGTTATGCCCGAGGGGCTGTTCTTGATCCATGTTATGTCCGAGGGGCTGATTACGAGTGATTGTGAGGTAGCCCGAGGGGCTGGTTCTGTTTATATTTTGCCCAAGGGGCGGTGTATGGTACATGTTTTGCTCGAGGGGCTGTTTACGTTTCTATCATTTTTACTCACTGTTTTTATCACTCGTTTGAAGCTATTGGAAGATGTTTTAAAAAGGAAAGGGTTTTTATTGAAACTGAGTTTGATTTACGAAATAAATAATTTCTGTACTGTTTTGGAAATGTACTGTATTTGCTGTAGCGTTATGACGTGGCTTACGTGTTTTCTTACTGCTCAGCTTTCATTTACTTTTATTACTTACTCAGTTGGCGTACTCACATTACTCCATGCACCTTGTATGCAGATTCAGGTATTTTTGAACGCGGTAGTGGGTGTTGATTGCTCAGTGGCAGAGTCATCGGAGTTAGCAAGGTAGCTGCCCGGCGTTCGCAGCCCTGCTCTCTCCCTCTTACCTTCCTTAGTCTGTTATAGTTTATTTTCAGACTCTTCGTTGTATTCAGACCTTAGTACATGCTCGTGACTTGTGACACCCTAATGTTGGGCTTGTGTATTTATTTTGCACTGTTCATTTAGACTTACATTATGAGATTATTGATTAATTAATGGCTTAAAATGACTTTTATTGAATACTGATTGAATTCAGGAATTGTGTCGGCTGGCCTAGTTTCACGATAGGCGCCATCACGACCAGGTCGGTTTTAGGGTCGTGACAAATTCAACTCTAAAATGATCCTTGTAGCACCAGCTAGTGAGAAACTTCACAAGGTGACTTCAGTGTTGGGCGAAGTGCACTAGTAGCCATTTTTACGACTATTGTTAAAATATATTCACATTATAATGTTTTCAAAGTTTAGCTAATTTTTCCAAACTTAAGGACTAAGTATCCTGAATTTTTGAGCTCCTAATTTAGAATTCAGAACTTAGGGTGTGTTTGGTATGAAGGAAAATATTGTCCAGAAAATATTTTTTAATTTTCCCATATTTGGTTGGCTTAAATATTTTAAAAAGTATTTTTCTCGTGAACTCATTTTCCTCTAATTGGAGAAAAATATTTTCCCTATCAAAAGAAGGGAAAACATTTTCCAAAACTCTTTTTCAACCTTTCCGCCCTATTCCTCTTCCCCACCAACCCACCCCCACACCCCCAACCTAACAACCCCACCACGTCCCACTCCCATCCCTAATTAAAATATTATTAATAGTACTTTCTTTTCATGTTATAGATTAAAGAAAAAAATCATTTCAACAAATTAATGAGTATTTTCTTTTCATGATAAAAAAAGTTTTTTATCATTTTAACAAAAAGTACTTTCTTTTCATGATGTAGAAAAAATATTTTCTTTCATTTCAACAAAATGATGTAGTAAAAAGTATTTTCTTTCATTTCAACAAAAAAAAGTATTTTCTTTTCATGATGTAGAAAAAGTATTTTTCATTCATTTCAACAACATGAGTTTTTTTTTATCAAGTAGAAAAAGTATTTTCTTTTATTTTAATAAAATGAGTACTTTATTTTCATGTTGTAGAAAGAGTACTTTCTTTTTCAACCCAAAAAAGAGTATTTTCTTTTTAGTTGTGGAACACAAATTTCAACGTTGTTTTGTGTAAAAAAGTAAAATAATACATTAGTTCCTTTGGATTTGTATGAATTTTTAGAAGAATAATTAAATTTTTGAAGAAAGTAGAGTCTTGAAAACGCTGGGTATTTGGGGGGGGGGGGGGGGTAGGGGGGGGTTGAAGGACTCTTGGGGACTTCGGGGAAGGGGGTGAGGAGAGTAGCATAAAAAAATATTTTCTACTCTCTAACCAAATACTAGAAAATATTTTTCAGAAAAAGTTTTTCACTCACCAACTAAACAAGGGAAAAATAAATAACAAAACCACTCATTTTTCATGAAAATATTTTTTAGGAAAATATTTTCCTTCATACCAAACACACCCTTAGTGTCCTAAATTTTTGAGCTGCTGATTTACTGAACTGCTATTTTAAAATTCAGGACGTAAGATTCGAATTTCTGAACACAATTTTCAAATTTTAGAACACGATGTCCTGAAGTTTGAACTTTGAGGTTTAAACTTCAGGATTCTATGTCCTGAAGTTTGAGCAAATTGGCTAATATTTAAATACGTTATAAATTATGGATATAGTTTAAACATTATAATTAGCTAACGTTTGGACAAATCGATTGAAACTTGAAAAAAGAGTTTTTGAAATTCTGTTGAAAAATAATTTTTGAAAGTTGAAGTTGTGTTTGGACATGCAATTTATTTGAAGAAAACTTGAAGTTTTGTGAGTGAAAGAAAAAAATTCACCCAAAAACTGTCCTAAACCAAGTTTTGGGAACTTGAAAATTTTTGAAGTTTTTTCCCCCAAAACAGGATCATATTTCATAAACAAATAATGTTTTCAATTTTTTGTTTTGAAGAAGTGAACTCAAAATCTATAGTCAAACTGGACCTTGAAAGTGGCTACCTAGTGTCATTTCCAGCTCACTTTTAGGTAAAAAAAAAACGGGCTAGCCAGTTTTCGGACTGGTCATTCAAAAATAGCCAGCGTTTGCAAAGTCATTGAAAAATAGCCACTATTTTGTTGCAACACGGAAAGTTCCAGCATAATATACTGGAGATCGGTGCACCTGTGTAAGAACTTCCAGCGTATTATGCTGGAACTCCAACACGCGAAAAATTCCAGTATATTATGCTGGCGGTATATTATACTGGAACTCCAGTATATTGAAAAATAGCCACTATTATACTGGAGTTCCAGCATAAGTATACTGGAATTCCAGTATATTATACTGGAGTTTTTTTCCGGATTTTGAACTGTGTTTTCGTTCCGATTTATCTTTACATGAAAAGTGGCTAAATTTCGATTATTTTTGAAACTGTGGCTAGTTTTAAATGACCACTTGTAAATCTGGCTATTTTTAAGTTTTAGGCCACTTTTAGTTACAAAATGGGTCATATCAAAGAGGCATCTGGGCCTTGCTTCCCACTGATAACCTCAAGGATTTGCTAAATTTTACCCACAAGGCACATAACTATTAGGAATTCATAGATGCCGTATATGTCATGTTGACAAACTTTAAAAATTCTAATTCATTCACCACCAAGACTTACAGTCTAGTAATACTTAATGCTTTTCATAATTCATATATGAGTGCATGTTCAATTCTCGATATTTTGTATGTATGTAACTGGCAAAAGACCACCTCTGTTGAATAACAATAATAACAATAACGTTGAAAATCAACGAGAAAATTAAAGGTGAATAAAGATGTGGAAAAAGTCTTCATTTCATGTATCCAATAGCACATCCCATATGCTTAATGTATACAACCATATTATTAGCTAGTGCAACTTAACCTCTAATGCTAGAACATATGCTTTCTCCTATGACTTGGATCATATTTCTCAATCCTCACCAGTTACTTTAATTTGGGCGAGACGCCATCTCAATTGGTCCAATTTGTCTTGCAAACTGCACACAGTAACACTGGAGTTAGTCATATAAATTTTATGGACATTTTTATTTTGATTTTTCAACCCGATGTCCGGTATCGCTTTGGGGCCCGACTAATTAAGATTTGTGAGGAAGTATCACTTTTCGGAGTAAAGTGCTTCCTACCAAAAGCGATTACATACACAAAACTCAAAAGGATAAAGGAGTACTCACTATAACCTTTTATGACTGATCGACAATATTTGATATATAAGTTAATTAATTTAACGATGCAAGTCATTTGAGGTAGAAATAATTAAAACATTATAATAAAAAAAAACTAGGCCACCTGAAAATAGGCTTCTAGCTTCTTTCTGAGTACTGCATATTCTCTCTTTAATTGCTGGAAAGTTCTCTTGCATCTGCTTTATAATTCATGGAGAACAAAAAAAAAAAAAAAAAAAAATCAGTCACGTAATAATCAAGATTAAGAATTAGAAAATCAGTCCAAATGAATGAACATGCATCCCTTGATTCCCTGACAGCCCACCTAAAAATAAAGCATAAAGACATCTTTGCGCAACAAAAATTGACTTTTTAATTATCTGTTCCTTAATAGTTTCAAATTTTCGAATTTGATGAAAAGCTAAACAGTAAAGGAGATGGAATAACTGTCTTTCATATCTCAACGTGTTTCTTAGTGGCATTTGAAAAATATTACTTTTTTTTTCGACAATTATTAATTAATCATGACTAAATTATGTACAATTTTTGTGATGCACGCCTATTGTCGCTAAAATTTCATCCGTTATTTTGTGATATTTATAATTTTCGGATGCAAGAGCATACGTAAAAGCGCAATATGTTAAAGTAAAGTAAATTCTGGATTGAGCATCTTGCAAGGCATTGATTACGACAAATTCCAGAGGATTTCTGGGTATATATATTTAAAATAGTAAGAAAATGCAATGGAGATTAAAAAGAGTAGAATTTGTGTCATGATTCGCTCCATAAACGTCCGATAAAATGTTGTAATGGAGTAGTCCTAACATGCATGAGAAATATATATATATATATATATATATATATATATATATATATATATATATATATATATGAATTTAATTTCTATATATACAATGATCATGGAAAATAATTTTTTTTGATATTATTAGGTCATCTAAAAGATATCCATAAAAAAAAAATTAAGCGAAAAGGATTTTTGCATAATCAAGTCCATCTAAAAGGTACTCATAATAAATGGAATTAGTAACTTAATTAATTACAAAATAAGGTAGATAAAATCAGAGGTGAAACCATGATTTGAAGTTTATGGGTTGAGGATTCTAGCTACTTTTAAGTTACTGAGTTCTAAATTAATAATTTATATACATGTTCAATAAAAATTTTAAGACAAATATAGATTTTCGACCAAAACTTCTAGGTTAGGCTGAACACGTAAGACAAAAAGGTTACGTACCCTTCCACATTTCCAGCTCGGCAGTATTCCCTGAACTGCGTACATTCAGTATTTACCTTCTTGGCTCCAATGCTGCTAAGACAAGAGAAAATTATTGGTACTTCTTGGCTAGGTTGAAGAAACGGGCTAGTTTTATTAATAGCTCGTTTGGCCAAGCAGTAAAAATCAGCTTATTTTGAGAAGTATTTTTTTTTAAAAGTATTTTTCTCAAAAATACTTTTGGTGAGAAGCAGTTTGTGTTTGGCTAATTAATTCGAAAAACACTTCTGAGCAGCAATTAATATTTGGCCAAGCTTTAAAAAACTGTTTCTAAGTATATTTTTCTCAAAAGTGCTTTTCAAAAAAGTGCTTTTGGAGAGAAGCTACTTTTTTCTGCTTCTCCAAAACTGCTTCTGCTTCTCCTCAAAAGCACTTTTTTTCTTCTTTCAAAAGCTTGACCAAAAAAAAAGCGCTTCTGCCTCAAAAGAAGCTTGGCCAAACAGGCTATAAGTATCATCTAGCTAGTTTAATTTGTCACATATTCTTGTATTGTTATTACTACTGATTACCTTGAACTACTGCCCTTGAACTGGTGCATATAGCTATCTAGCTTTGCAAAATCTAGAGGTTGTTTCTCCCTGAAACGCATCAAAATATAAACATGAATTATACTTCAGTATCATTTATAGTTAAACAGTCGATATTCCTGAATGTAGTCTCCAACTAATTAATTAGATCGTCATTGATATTAGTACGTACTCTATTATATATGACTAGGAATTAATTAAGATGTACATAAATGTGTATAAAATAATAAAGGATCAGTACTGATGAAACAAAACTCACAATGCCTGGTCAATGCTATGGATTAAGCGAGCAGAATCTTTATAAAACAAAGTAACAACTTCCTCTACGAAGTTAGGATTAGCATCATCCTGTAGCTCTTCCAACTGAATAAATTGCTCATCAAGATATCCCTGCACCCACGAGATATCAAACTCGATCATATAATAAATTTCGTTTCAAACCAGAGTGCCAGAATAATATCCTATTCTCGTGCCAAGTGCATGTGGAGAAGAGTATTGTGCATATCTTATAGTAGTAAAAAGAACGAATGTATGCAACAACTAGGTAAATAGTAGTAGCAATTAATTAAAGAGTTTAGTTATGTCTATGAATTTGTAAGAAATATTTATATGATTAGGTTGCTTAAAGAGCAACTACAAGTAACTCTATTTAATAAATACCAAACAGTAACTTAATTAAAATAATGGAGTAATAAGTTTATATGTTATTAAAACATGTTAAGTTACCATGCCCAGGACCGCATGCACCTTGTACCATTTGCGGTGTCATAGGACACCGTTTCGCTGACAAATTTCATTATATATTTATGAGAAAAATAAAAACAATGAGGTTATATAAAGAAAATGATACCGCTTGTCATTTATAAGTAATTTATTTTTGTCGATTTTTTAAAATTGTAATACCGCTTATGCAAAATCCTAACTTATGCCATTGACCATGACAGTAGGGAGGACGAAAGCAAGGAAATGGAAGAAAGAGAAACCTGATCGAAAAAGGACTGCCTTAGGTTGGCAAGTTGCCGATGTAATTCCATAGGAGTAATGATTAAATTAAATAACAGACTCACAGATCAGAGATGTAGTGATATGATAGAGAATGAGATGGGAATTAGGCATATGAAAAGAGGGTTTATATAGGAGCGGGGAAAGAATAATGACGCCATGGACGTTGTTTTAATTTCTTATTCTTCTTTAGTTACAATTGAACTTTTATGTTGGCTATGTATTCAAAATTAGCACGATGATATTTCTTCCTCCTATGGAAAAATAAAATAATTTTATTCATTTTTTCGGTTGGTAATTAATACGTTCACTGTGATGTCCAATTGTACATTAGGAAGGCACTCATCCTCGTTACCCTAAAATCAGGGGAGGAGCCTGCCTTACAATTGAACCTAACAGCTTTCGTCTAAATTTTATATTTGTCTTGAGTTATTGAACAATAACTTAAAAGAATTAGAATCCCGCACACAAAAACTTTAAATTCAGGCTCCGTCTCAGCCTAAAATTGGAAGGTTTTATGCATGTAGAAAATTTGCTCGCGACATGTATAAAGAATATAGACTTGAATTTATTGGTGTTAGCTAGACTAAGACACAAGCTGATTACTAACCTTAGTTAGTTAGTAAACTTAACTGTAGTCAGGCGGTTGAATGTGTAGTTAGGAAGTTAAGAATTAGTTAGTTAATTACTGTATATATACAGTGTTTAGAAAAGATACGATTTTTGCATTTCCATTTTTCCTCAAATTTGTTCTTCATTCTTCTCAGTTCGCTCTCGATCTACTATATCTTTCTCTCTTGTTAATGGCTATGGCTGCTAACATGATACCAGAGCCACCGGCGTAGGTCCTCATCGCAGCTCGAGTTTGCTCCGATCTTCTCAGAAACCTCAGTTCAACAATTTCTAGTTTAATTGTCGTAGAGTTCATCTGAGCTAGAAGGAGCTAGGGTTTGTGAATTGGGAGAGAATTTTGCAAAATTTGTTCAATTCAACTGATCGGCAAGTACTTTGTTGCTAGAAAATGACAATTGGAGATGAGTCGAGTCCCTCGAGTGGTGTACCTGTTCCTCCTAACACTGGAAATGGTGATTTGGGAACAAGCACCACAAGTTTTCCAATAATCGATCATAATCATCCTTTGTTCTTACAGCAAACCGATACTCCAGGAAGCACACTGATTTCACTTCTGCTGACTGGATCGGACAATTATGCTCTATGGAGTCGTGCTATGAGAATTGGCCTTTTAGGTAAGAGCAAATTAGGTTTTGTTGATGGTCGACTTCCTAAAACTAGCTAGGTTTAAACCTGAGTTACATGATCAATAGGAAAAGGTTAATGTTGTTGATCTGTCATGGATCATGAATTCAGTTAGACCTGGCTTATTGAGTAGTGTTCTGTATGCTTCTGATGCTCATAAGGTTTGGGAGGATCTCAAGGAAAGATTTGATAAAGTCATTGGTTCTAGAGTTCTATATCTTCATAGAGAAATCCATAGTCTTACTCAAGGAACCATGACAATTGCTGATTATTTCTCTAAATTGAAAGATCTGTGGGATGAATTTGACGCACTCATGCCTTGTCCTGCTTGCCCTTGTCCTGAATCTAAGAAATATTCTCAACATTTTGAAGCTAATAGGTTACTGCAGTTTCTGGTAGGTTTGAATGAAACCTAAACCCAAGCCAGAAGCCAAATTATGATGATGTCTCATGTACCTAGCATCAACAAAGCATATGCACTACTTGTTGATCAAGAAAGTCAAAAGTCTTGCAACCTGTCAGCAGTCTATGCTAATTGCTGAAGGGATAGAAAGCACACCATTGTATAGCAACAGAGGAAATGGAGCCCCGGGAGGTAGTTACAAGTTTAAGAAGAGTCGGGTTCAATGTGAATACTGTTATTGCAAAGGACACCAAAGAGAATTGCTACAAACTCATAGGATATCCACCTGACTTCAAGACCAAGAAGAAAGGTTCTACAACTCTTGGTTTGTATGCTAATGGTGCCTCGGGTGTAGATTTTGCTGTAGGAGATACTGCTTACAGGCACTCTCAACCACAGTGTGCAATACCTCAAGCCAATGCTGCCTATCAACAGAACAAAGGAGGAGATCCCTATGTGTATCCACAACAATCAGTTGTCTATCCACAGCAGCAGGCTCCTAGCTATGGACCTCCTCCTCAGCCTCATTCAGCTCTTGCTTTCTTTACTAAGGAACATTATTAGCAAATTCTTCAACTGCTGTCAAAAGGAAATGAGGAAGCTCTAGGACCATCCAGTTAATTGGCTGCAACAGGTACTCTGATTGCCCTAATGACCAATTTTGCCAATAAGAAGTGGATCATAGACATTGGTGCCTCAAATCATATGACTTCTAGAATTGGCATGCTTAATTCACATAGTACTATTAACGACGAAAGTAAAAATGTAGTTCACTTACCAAATGGAGAAATGGTGTCTGTTACTCATAAAGGGAAGGCTATTGTTGTTCTTAATGATCAAACTATATCTAATGTGATGTACATACCAGACTTTAAGTACAACGTATTGTCTGTATCACAACTCACCAAGGAGCTTCAGTGCCTAATTTCCTTCTTCCCTGACTTCTGTATTTTTAAGGATCTCTACAGTGGTCAGGTGAAGGGGATTGGTATGGAGAATCATGGACTGTATCTTCTACAAGGAGAAGGTCTTTAAAACTCCTCAACATTGTCCGAAGGAAGATGTCTTAGCACAGTTGATGTCTCTTCTAGTTCTGAGCCTAAGTCTAGTTCTAGTACTATTTCAAACTCTAGTTTATTCTCATCTCGTAGTCTATGGCACAAGAGGTTAGGACATGCTCCTGTAAATATAATAAAAAGGTTCAATGTAATCAGTGATGTGAAAGACTGCTCCACTAACACTGTCATGTATGCCATTTGGCTAAGCAATCAAAAATGCCCTTTCCTCTAAGTAATTCAACTACCAAGTCTGTATTTGAATTAGTACGTTGTGATATTTGGGGACCCTATAGGGTGCCAACCTATGATGGAAAAAGATTCTTTGTCACTCTAGTTGATGACTATTCTAGATATACTTGGATATTTCTTATCAACACTAAATCTGAAGTTGTAGTAGTGCTGAGAGATTTTCTGGTAAAGCGAAGAATTTGTTCTCTATACTGATGTAAAGTACTTGAGAACTGACAATAGAAGTGAATTCTTTAGCAATGAATTTACATCCTTGTTAACTACTCTTGGCATCATACATCAAAGATCTTGTGTATACACTTCACAACAACATGGAGTTGTGGAACGAAAGCATAGAACAATTCTGGAGATGGCAAGGTCTCTCAGATTTCAAGCCTCTATTCCTCTAAGATTCTGGGGAGAGTGTGTAACTACAAATGTATCTCATCAATCGACTTCCATCCAAGGTAATTGGGTACAAGACACCTTTTGAGATGCTCTATTTGCATCCTCCCTCATTGCATCACTTAAGAGTCTTTGGGTGCTTGTGCTATGCATCCAGTCCTAAAGTGCATGATAAGTTTTCATCTGGAGCAATTTCATCTGTTCTCATGGGATATTCATCCACTCAAAAGGGATATATTCTATACGATCTTTCCTCAAAAACCTTCCTAATCAACAGGAATGTTACATTTCAAGAAGAAATATATCCTTTCAAGCACATAAAGTAGATCACTAATCCTTTGTTTCCTGTGCTGGAGTTTGTTCCTGATGCTATTGATAACTCTGTTTACAGCTCCTCAAAGTGTGATACAGTCCTCTCCAGGAACTTCAGTAGATGACAATGCAGACAATCATTGCCATATTCCAAACACAACTAAATTTCAACTATAAGTGAAGATCCTGTAGTTGATCCTCTAAGTTCACATGAACTTAGAAAGTCTTCTAGAACCAGTAGACCACATCTGTGGCTACATGACTATGTGGTTCATTCAAAAGGGTCCAAATGTGCCTATCCAATCTCAACTCGTGTAACCTACTCACACATTTCTCCATCTTACAGTCAAGTCTTATCAGCTCACTTTGCATGCACTGAGCCTCAAACATACTCAGAGGCAGTCAAAGATCCTCAGTGGGTTGAAGCTATGAAACTGGAGATAGCAGCATTAGAGGATAACCACACCTGGAGTATTGTTGATCTGTCCCCTGGAAAGAAACCTATTGGTTGTAGATGGATATTCAAGATCAAGCATAAGGCTTCATGGGAGATAGAGAGATTCAAGGCAAGATTGGTAGTCAAAGGCTATCGTCAAAGGGAAGGCTTAGACTACAGTGAAACCTTTTCACCAGTAGCTAAGATGGTCACGGTTAGGTCCAATATTGCACTGGCAGCTTCAAAACAGTGGTTCATATACCAAATGGATGTGCATAATGCCTTCCTCAATGGTGATCTCCTAGAGGAAGTCTATATGGTAATTCCTGAAGGGTTTGTCAGGCAGCGGGAGAATCAGAAAGTTTGCAAACTACACAAATCTCTATATGGTCTCAAACAGGCTCCTAGGCAGTGGAATATGAAACTGACTGAAGCTCTGGTGTCAATGGGATTTGAACGCAGACACTATGACTATTCCCTATTCACCAAGAAGACTGTAGGTGATGTAGTCATAGTCTTGGTGTATGTGGATGACTTATTGATGACTGGTAATAATCCAAGTCTGATTAGTGACACTAGGTGTAAATTGCAGCAGAGGTTCAAGATGAAAGACCTGGAGGAGTTAAAGTTTTTCCTTGGCATTGAATGTGCAAGATCAAATGAAGGCATCTTCATGAGTCAAAGAAAGTATGCTCTTGAGCTAACTGCTGAGGCAGGTCTAGGTGGAGTTAAACCAGCTGATACTCCACTAGAGTTGAACCAGAAACTTACATCAGTGTAGTATGATGAATGTATCCATCATAAGGAGTCATCTGGGAATAAACTACTTGAAGATCCCACCAGGTACCAAAGACTAGTTGGAAGGCTATTGTATCTAACTATGACTAGACCTGATATTGCCTTTGCAGTACATGTATTAAGTAAATACATGCACTCTCCTAAAGTATCTCATATGGAAGCAGCTTTAAGGGTAGTGAGGTATATTAAAGAAGCTCTTGGTCTGGGATTGATCATAC